CAATATTTCAAAAAAATTTCCTAACGGGATTCTAAAGATGATGGACATTGAAAATTACCTTGATCGTGCGTAAAAACTCAAGGTAATTAACCTCCGGAACGATCACCTAGTAGCCTCCGTCTACAAATAAACGATTCTAAGTTAGATAATTATACGACTATATATAAAAAAAAAAATTGAGCGTGTGATTAATTTATCATAACCCGTAATCTAGTCACCCCAAAAACAAAATATAAACAACTAATTAAATGGTGCCCTCATTCGTCCATCATCATCACCGACATCCATCATCATCATCACCGACATTCGTCCATCATCATCACCGACATCCCAAAATTCCACTAAAACCCAAATCCCAAATTCCACTGAAAGCCATACGAAATTCGTTGTTTTTTTTTTTTTTTTTTAATTTTAGAAATCAATAAGCACAAAAATCCAATAGACCAAATACTGAAACCGAAACAATGGAGTGACAAGTTGCGGTGACTTCCGAACTCGTCATTGAAAAATATTTATTATTAATTTTTTTTAATTTTTTAGAAGAGATAGCTTACCTGAGAAATGATTGAAAGTACGGTATTGAAATTTGAGGTTAAGGGGGCTTTATATAAGTTTGAGTTGTTTAGCACTCTAGAAATTTCACAAGATAAGGGTCAAACTTATCTTGAGTTTGTTACATAAACTCAGTAAACAGATTTTCAAAATTCCTTTTTATCAGCTTTCAAACCAATCTCTATATGTTATCCAAAATCAGTTTTTTTTTTTTTTTTTTTTTTTTTAAAAAAAAAAAAAATCAAATCTAATAATAATAATAATTTTTACAATTTGAAAATAATAATGATTTGTTTTAAAGTTTTTTTTTTTTTTGAAAAGAAATCGTTGACTAAAAGTACTCCAAAATTTGGGGTATTACATCTACTCCCCCTAAAACGAAAGTTCGTCCTCGAACTTTTAAGTTAGGTAGCTCTCCGAATAAAGCACACACGATGACAAAAGATAAGTTAGTATTACATTCTACCCCCTTTAAGAGTTTCGACCTCGAAAATCAGCGACCTCGAAACTCAGCGTACCTGCTCAAAAAGTTCTGGGTAGCGCTTTTTTCATATCATGTTCCGCTTCCCAAGTCACTTCTTCAGAATTCTGATTAGACCATAACACTTTAACTAACTTTACCGCCTTCTTTCGGGTACTTCTCGTTTTGGTGTCGAGAATTTTCACAGGGCGTTCTTCGAAAGTTAAGGTCTCATCTAGCTCAATAGTCTCGGGTTGGATAACATGGGTAGGGTCATGAACATACTTTCGGAGTTGGGAAACATGAAAAACATTGTGAACACTGGCTAACTCCATGGGTAAGGCTAGTTGATATGCTACCTCTCCAACTCTCTTCAATACTTCATACGGGCCAATGTATCTAGGACTCAACTTCCCTTTTCCACCAAACCGCATGACTCCCTTTGTAGGTGAAACCTTAAGTAAAGCCTTTTCCCCAACTTCAAATTCCACTATTCTCCTATTCTGGTCTGCATATGACTTTTGTCGATCCTGAGCTGCCTTCATGTTTGCCTGGATAAGCCTAACTTGCTTCGTTGTTTCTTCAATCATTTCAGGCCCCAAAGTTAAAGACTCACTGATATCGCTCCAACACAAGGGACTCCTACATTTTCTCCCATACAACGCTTCGTAAGGCGCCAATCCTATACTCGCATGATGGCTATTATTGTATGAAAATTCGATCATAGGTAATCTTTCGTCCCATGATCCACCAAAGTCCATCACACAAGCTCTCAACATGTCCTCCAAGGTCTGAATTGTTCTCTCTGTCTGTCCATCTGTAGTAGGGTGAAACGCTGTGCTAAACTTCAGGATACTGCCAAATGCTTGCTGAAACATTTCCCAGAACTTAGATAAAAATCTTGGATCTCTCTCTGAAATAATATCTTTAGAAACTCCATGTAGCCTCACAATTTCTTTCACATAGGCAGCTGCTAACTGATTACATTCCAAGTATCCTTTATTCCTACGAATCTTGCTATTTTTGTTAGACGATCAACTATGACCCAAATAGCATTCTTTGCTGCTCTTGTAATCGGTAATCCCATCACAAAATCCATAGAGATAGACTCCCACTTCCATCATGGCACATCTAACGATTGTAGCTTCCCTCTAGGTCTCATATGTTGTATCTTCACTTTCTGACATGTAAGGCACTTTGCCACAAACTCGGCTACTTCACGCTTCATGTTCGGCCACCGAAAATGTTGCTTAAGATCCTTATAGAGCTTATCTCCTCCCGGGTGTACAGAGTACGGGGTGTTATGAGCTTCTTCTAAAATCTTCCTTTTGAGATCTTCATTTTTAGGAATACACCATCTCCATTTGTATTTCACTGTTCCACTATCATCTACATCAAACTCAGTTGTCGCTCCTTCTTCTTTCATCTTCCTCACCTTGGTCAACCACTCATCTAACATTTGCTTCTCACGAATCTCATCATATATGGTAGGTTTGACTGACATTGCATTCAACTGAGCGTTCACCTGACCATACTCTACAACCTCCAAGTTCAACTTCCTAAATTCTTCACAAAGTTCCTTAGCTAAAATCATCAAGTTCACTGTATGACTTGTCTTCCTACTCAAAGCATCAGCTACCTTGTTCGCCTTTCCTTCGTGATATAGAATGTCCGGGTTGTAGTCGGTTAGCACCTCAAGCCATCTCCTTTGCCTCATGTTCAAATGAGTCTGTGTGAATATGTATTTAAGACTCTTATGGTCCGTATACACCTTACATCTCACACCATACAAGTAGTGTCTCCAGATCTTGAAAGCAAACACTACAGCTCCTAGCTCCAAATCATGAGTAGGGTAATTCTGTTCATGTTACTTGAGCTGCCTTGATGCATAAGCTACAACCTTCCCATGCTGCATAAGTACACACCCAAAGCCATTCTTAGATGCGTCACTATAGATTTCAAACCCCTCAGTCCCTGATGGTAAGGTTAAGACTGGTGCTGAGGTGAGTCTTCGCTTCAATTCTTGAAAAGATTGCTCACACCTCTCGTCCCATTGAAACTTAGTAGTTTTCTTCATCAAATTTGTTAAGGGTTGAGCTATCCTCGAAAAGTCTTGTAAAAATCTCCTGTAGTATCCAGCAAGCCCTAAGAAACTTCCCACTTCGGTTACACTTTTGGGTCTTGGCCAATCAGAAACTGCCCGAACCTTGGATGGGTCCACCGCAATTCCTTCCTTTGAGATCACATGGCCTAGAAATGCTACCTTCTCTAGCCAAAATTCACATTTTGAAAATTTGGCATATAACTTCTTCTCTCTAAGAATCTCCAACACTTTTCTTAGATGTTCTTCGTGCTCTTCTCTATCCCTCGAGTACACCAAAATATCATCTATGAACACCACCACAATATGGCTGAAAAGTTCTATTCATGAGATCCATAAAAGTTGTCGGCGCATTAGTGAGTCCAAAAGGCATACCAGTGAACTCATAATGTCCGTATCTCGTGCGAAACGATGTCTTTGGTATATCTTCCTCAGCAATCCTCAACTGATGGTATCTTATCCTCAAGTTAATCTTTGAAAAGATCCCAGCACCTTTAAGCTGATCAAACAAGTCCTCGATCCTAGGCAATGGATATTTGTTCTTTATAGTGACATTATTCAACTCTCGGTAGTCAATACACAACCTTAAGGATCCGTCCTTTCTCACAAACAAAACCGGTGCTCCCCAAGGTGACACACTTGGCCTTATATAACTCTTCTCCAGCAACTCCTCCAACTGTACTTTCAACTCTTTTATCTCTGATGGTGCCATTCTATATGGTGCTTTAGAAATAGCTCCATTCCCAGGCACTAAGTCTATTTTGAAATCCATCTCGCTCACCGACGGCATCCTTGGAATTTCATCTGGAAACATATCTTGGAATTCTCTCACCACTGGAATGTTCTCTATGGATTTCTCTTCTACACTCACATCTTTCACATGGCATAAATAAATAGGGTAGCCCTTTCGGATATAAGAATGAAAAGTCATGGCTGACATAATACTAATCCCTGGTTTTGACACAACCCCCTGGTAAGAGATTTTATTCCCCTTGGCCCCCTAAGAGACACCTTTTGGGTATGACACTCAATTCTAGCCTTATATTTGCTAAGCCAATCCATCCCCAATATCACATCAAAGTCAGTTAAGTCAAACTGAATGAGGTTTGCAAGCAACTCAGTTCCAGCAATGTTAACTGGAATGTCTTGGTATAGGGATCTACAAGGAACTACCTCCCCTGAAGGAATTGTTATATTGTTTTGACACAAAGATGAAGGTTTTAAAGCATGTTTATTCACGAAAGAAGTGGCTACAAAAGAATGAGATGCCCCAGAATCAAAAAGTAAGTACGCAGGTTTTGAGTTCACGAGAAAAGTACCCTTCACAACGTCGGCATTAGAGTCAATCTCGCTCTGGTTCATGACATAGATTCTTTCGTTACTGGTCCTACCATTACCATTGTGGTTGCTTCCTCCACCATTGTTGTTGTTTTGGCCATTCCCTCCTTGAGCATTGCCATTTTGGCCCTGAGAATTGTTGTTGTTGAAGCGGTTGTTGTAGTTTGAGTTCCTCCCATAACCACCTCCCTTATTGCCATTGTTGTTACCTTGCCCATTCTGAGCTTGATTATTGCCATTCTACTTCTTTGGGCACTCAAATTTCTTGTGACCAACCTCCCCACATTCAAAGCAAGTAAGCAAATCTCCATTGCAGTTGCGTCATGGATGGCTCTTGTCACATTTACGGCATGGTCGATTACGAGATCCTTGCTGATTATGTTGTCCCTGGCCCCGGTGGTTATTGCTTCGATTGTTGTTGTTACGGCCTCCCTGCTGACCATTTCCACTATTCCCATTGCTATTACCCCCTAGGCGTGGTCTCTTGTCATAACCTTGAGGGTTCGATGAACTCTCTCTTATGCCTATCCTTGACCTCCTGTTCACGTTTCAAAATCCTTTCAATATTACAAGCTCTATCATAGGCCTCCTTATAAGTAGCAGCAGTACCAGCCCGATCACCTTCTTTTGGATCCTAAAATTCAGTCCATCTTTAAACTTCTGAGCCTTGGATCTCTCATCAGGCACTACATTAGGACAAAACCTTGCGTACTCATTAAATTTCTCAGCATACTCTTGCACACTCATACCAGCTGTTTGGTTAAACCTACTAAACTCACTGTACTTCTGTCTCTTGATATGCTCTAGAAAGAAACGATCCCTGATTGCTGTCTTAAAAGCCTCCCAGTTAAAATTCTGTTGAGCTCTTATGGTGGCTCCTTCATTTTCCCACCAAATATCAGCAGCCTCACGTAAATAGAATGTGACTTGATCCACCTTCTGAGCATCAGGGGTACCAGCAGCAGTGAAAATCTTGTCAAAGTCACGTACCCAGTTCTCAACCAACATGGGATCTTCCTTCCCCATAAATAGCGGAGGTTTCAATGCAGCAAGTTTCTTAGCCATAGCAGCTTGAGGGTCGTTGTCATTATTGTTGTGGTTGTTTTTTTTATTCAGTTGGTTTTGCAACAACATTCCAAGGTTCTGGTTCATTTACTTAAGACCTCTTAACCTAGCAGCAAGTTGTTCAGGAGTATCATCCATTTGTGCAATTCTTCTCCAACGAGACCTGGTGTAAACGTGGTAATTTTGCACACACAGTCTGCACAATTTCAACACTGGTGTTACCACCATACACATTTTAACACGACTTATTTAGATCGTGTGAATTGCAATTAAATCATCAACCACGACATGATTTCATGTAACACATCAACACATATAGAGAAGAATTAAGCAATTTATTAAATCTCAACAGCATTCAAAGAGTCGGCCAAGTTCCAAACAAAGTAATGCATCAACTTAGCATTAGACTATAAATTCGCGCATTGCTTTGTGATTTCACTATCACCCGACCAAGTCATTACTAGCCTTGACTAAAGTAAGCATAAGAAAATAAGAGCTTTGTCCTATATAAATACAATAGATAGAAAAAAAATGAATTGATTTTTATTAATAATCATAAAATAGCAAGGTATAAATATATTAATCAAAATTATTTTATTGCAAAACAAGAAGAGAATGAAAATCGTCATTGAAATAAAATACTACTACTAAATATCTCAATAAACTACTAGATACAAATAAACCAAAACTATAGTTTCTAGTCATAAGAAACTAGCTTTTATTTGTAAAACTAATATATAAAAATTTTAACCAAATAAACTAAACGTAGCTTTTAAAAAAAATAATTCAATTATTATTTTCCCCTTAACTCTCACGAGCTTCACCTTCCTGGGGCTCATCCTCCTCATCATCATCCAGGTTATAGTCAAAGTCTCACTTGGGTTTCCATCATTTCCTTCTCAAGGTAGTCCACAGTAGGGATCCATCTTTCATCATAATAATACTTATCATTCGGTTTACCATTAGTGTATAAGTCAACATACTTCTTTGTAAGTTGAGCAAAGGGTCCCTTCCCAATTAACGTGTGTAGAAGGATTTGAGATCGCCTCTCTGGAGTGAGATAATTAGATTGGCCCCCAAGTATATTGTAATGAAAGTGCTCAATGCAGAGATTTAAGCGGTGCACGTAATGCCAAATATTTTCATTATAATTCATACGAATCCCGTAAGGAGAATCAGATAATAAATGTGTACTCTTCCTAGCACTCGACTTTCTTGCAGTTTTAAGTACTCGTACCATCTAATAAAAGAAAGTAAATAATCACATAATAAGTATTAAATAAAAGTACTATAAAACACATAAATCCCTTAACGTGATTCCCACACTCACGGCTTTCCTAAGCTTAAATCAATTTTAAACTTATATACAAATTTTTAAACCTAAATCTTTAATTTAATTCATTTTAGTCCCTAAATTTTGAAAAACCTTGGCTCTGCATACCAATTTGTAACACCCCCAAAATTCGAGTCTTTAAAAACAATAAGAGTAACCTTTAACTTTCAAAAACCCAACCATCGAACTCTGGGAGTGTTACTGCTACACTTATTTTCCGTAGAAAATAAATGCAAAGCAAAAATAACATAATATTTAAATAAACTAAGTGGTCAAGTTGTGGCAAAATAAAATAGTCATTACATCAAAACTGCAATTATTTTGAAACCAATAATTGAGAGGAAATAATTAAATTCGAGAATAAACTAAGTTGTCTTAGCTACGTGATTATTCTAAAATCTCCTCACACGTAACCGAGTACCCTTTTTACCAACCTGCAAAATAAATTAGAAACAAGAAAAGAGAGAAAACTCCCAAAATCAGATAAAATGAGTAATTCCAACTCCATCTCATAAAATAAATAATTTTAGTTCAAAATATTTTATACATAATATAGTCTCATAAATATTTTAATACTCAACCAAGTTCAAATAGTCACATAACATACTATTTCTTTATTTAAGAAAGGGGAAGAGAACGCCAGTAAGCCGGGACTAGTCCCTGTCACCACCTACCTTACAGAGGGTCGCGCGTAACCCCAATTAGGTAGAAGACTAACAGCAATGTACAATAATTTAAACCAACTAGTAGCAACCATAACTACTAGTGGGCAACCTGTTCTTCACCCTTTCGGGTTTCATTTCCCTTCTTAAATTACTGTACATTTTATTAGATTAAATCATCCGGTCAAAAGCATTGCACAAATCAATTTAATCCCAAGTAACAATATTTCAATTCCAATATTATTAGCACATAGTCGTTCCACATGACATACTAATTATAACTCGATTCTCAATACGCCTTAGAGACCATCAATTATATCTAATCAATCATTTAATTCCCAAGATTATATTAAAAAAAAAACTCATACGATAACAAATAATCATATTTTTCGAAATTACATATACTAGTACACAAAATAGAAAACTCATATATAATATATAAGATTCCATAATATCATACGATAGCACACTCATCACATATAATTACATAAGCACGTATTTGACACATAATATTTCAAAACAATTTCCTAACGGGATTCCAAAGATGATGGACATTGAAAATTACCTTGATCGTGCGTAAAAACTCAAGGTAATTAACCTCCGGAACGATCACCTAGTAGCCTCCGTCTACAAATAAACGATTCTAAGTTAGATAATTATACGACTATATATAAAAAAAAAAAATTGAGCGTGTGATTAATTTATCATAACCCGTAATCTAGTCACCCCAAAAACAAAATATAAACAACTAATTAAATGGTGCCCTCATTCGTCCATCATCATCACCGACATCCATCATCATCATCACCGACATCCCAAAATTCCACTAAAACCCAAATCCCAAATTCCACTGAAAGCCATACGAAATTCGTTGTTTTTTTTTTTTAAATTTTAGAAATCAATAAGCACAAAAATCCAATAGACCAAATACTGAAACCGAAACAATGGAGTGACAAGTTGCGGTGACTTCCGAACTCGTCATTGAAAAATATTTATTATTAATTTTTTTAATTTTTTTAGAAGAGATAGTTTACCTGAGAAATGATTGAAAGTACGGTATTGAAATTTGAGGTTAAGGGGGCTTTATATAAGTTTGAGTTGTTTAGCACTCTAGAAATTTCACAAGATAAGGGTCAAACTTATTTTTTAATTTGTTACATAAACTCAGTAAATAGATTTTCAAAATTCCTTTTTATCAGCTTTCAAACCAATCTCTGTATGTTATGCAAAATCAGTTTTTTTTTTATCAAATCCGAAAATAATAATAATAATAATAATAATAATAATAATAATAATAATAATAATAATAATGATAATAATAATAATAGTAATAATTTACAATTTAAAAATAATAATAATTTGTTTTAAAGTTTTTTTTTTTTTTGAATAGAAATCGTTGACTAAAAATACTCCAAAATTTGGGGTATTACAAAATGGGATTTGCCAAAGGACTCGTATAAACTGTGATTGACTCGACCAACTGACCTGATCAAGCTTGACTTGACACGACATGATAGGTGTATGACTTGTGATTGTGTGTGTGAATTTTGAGTGTGTGTGTAGACACAAGCAACGAAAAATGCAAAAGCAAAAATTTTCATCATTTTTTGTCACAAGTGGAGGGTACTGTCTTTCTCCCGGAAAAGAAAGACGTGAAAAATGAAGTAAGAATTTTCAAACTTTAATTTCCTCAATAAAAAATTTTAAAAAGTTTTTGAAATTCCCCAAAAGAAAAAAGATGAAAAATAGAAGTATTGTACTTCCACACCGAGAAAATTTTGAAAAAGTTTTTGAAATTCCTCAAAAGAAAAGACATAAAAAAAGGAAGAAATTTTGAACTCGTTCAGCAAAGCGAGATGAATCGCATGGATTTTCTTCTTGTAAAATTAAATTGTTCGTCTTAAAAATAATGTATGCATGATGAATGTTCGTAGGCCAAGAGGCTAAGGACAATTACATCATGTGATACGATCAATGAATGCACTTAGGTCATGAAGCTCGGCACAGTAGAATCATTGATGGATGTTGCTTAGGTCTGAAAGCTAAGCATCATATAGTGTATGAAAAACAATCTTAATGAACGTTGCTGAGGTCTGGAAGCTAAGCACATATATAGGTGAAGTGATTGTTAAGTATTACATAATAAATCTTGATGAGTATTTCATAATTCAGGAATATAAGCACAACATGTAATGTATGAAACAACGAATATTGCATAGGCCAGAAAGCTAAGCAAATATGCCACGTTTCTTTAATGAATTGAATGTTATCCTAATAGATTATGAAGCACGCGCATTGTTAAAGTAAAATTTCATGATAAAGGGTTCATAAGGGAAGGACGATATGGTTATCTATGTGTGAAAGAAGTATGTGAAAGTGATACTAAGGTGGATTCTTCTTATTCCATAATTTTCCACATCATATAAAGGGCTAATAGAGTTGCACTTTCTTAGTACATTACCTTTCATTACCAACTTGTCGAAAGGCTATGGCGATGGGAATAGATGTGAGAAGAGTCAAAGATGATGACTTCTTAGGCTTGGTAAGTTAAGTGATGTGGGTTCAAGCCCCCAAGTCTAGCTCTAGATTGACATGAATGAGCATTGGAAATGTTTTGACTCGATTATATATGAATGAATATGAATGTGGCCGCACCTCAATGAAAGGTTGCCTACGTATCCATTAGGAATCAGCCTGAACGTAGCTCTAACCGGACTTTTCACAAGTGTATGTACACCTCAAAGAGGTCTTTCAAGAATTGTAATATAATTATGCTAATGGTTAAAGAAAAAAGGGTAAAAGGCTCAAGACCCGAGAGAAGCCCCTCAAGATGTGTAATTGTGCACTTGAAATTTGAACTTTGCAAGTTAATTTTCAACATTTCTTTTTTGTTTTGATTTTTTTCTTTTTTATTTTTCATTCTTTTGAATCAATGTGAGAAATCTCGGATCATACGGTCCAGGACTCTCTTAGGATTCATGTTTCTCAGGCATGATACCAAGCACTCGATGAGAGATGCAATTCGAGACGTGTTCATATCAAATACATTGGAACTCTTGTCCTTAGACATTGTTTTAATTTTTTGTCTTTTT